ATGCATTATTTTGAAAATCAATTAAAAAAAGGCCATCTTTAATTTTCTTTAAGCTCTCCAAAATTAAGATTTATAATAAGTACTAACAGAATCTGCAAATACCTACTGCAATATTTGTGTGGCTTTGAAGTTATAAAACGAGAAATACGGTCAAATTGACGCTAACGCTCTTGTCCTAAATGGCGCGTGCACGTACCCATTTTTCGCATTTTCATTATGATTATGAAACGTGAAAATGCTACGCGGTGGTTAGGAAAAGACAAATTGACAGCACAGAGGTGGACGGTAGTTTTGAAGAAAGAATTTCCAATAGATTTTTGTACAACCGACCCAAATATTCCCATGGGCCGGAGCGATCGAGGTGCTGCGCCACCCTGTAACATGCTTCACGGTACCTGTTTCAACAGCCGGCGTGCAGCGTCTCCGTCTACGCGACGTAAAGGAAGCAACAGGAGCGACTCCGCAAACATATCAGCCTACAACCTTGGCGGAAACAAGATATTGAAGGCAGGGCACGGCAGAACCTGAACCTGCGCCACCTGCGAGCGCCTAATAGATACGCCGGGACCAACCAAACCTAAACTCGTAAATACTATCAGTGCGCGGACGGGTTGGTAGAAGTTTGGCATCATGAACTAAATCCGAGACCCGGGCAGAATAAACGAGGTTTTTTGGCAGTGGTAAAAACAAAACAAAATACGGGACGAAAAACAACTTGAATTAAAGGTTTAATTTAATCGCCCTCCTTTTAAACACCCTCATTAAATACATATCACCGTTTTTATATCACCTTATAGCACCGTACCTATATAACCCTCATTCTATAGAAGAAAAAAACATTTTCTCCGTTTTTCTAAGCGTCAAAATTGTTTTTTTTTTTCTTGCGCAATTCTGTTAGGTTAAATTCAATCATGTCTTGTATTGATACTGTCAGCCATTTTTAGGGCTACGACAGGGTGAATAAAATATGCAAAAAAAGGAATATACAAGTCGCCGATAAAAACAAAAAAGAGTTTAACGAATAATCAAGCTTCTCGTTGAATACAAAATGCCACTTATCTGACCAAATTACGCATCTTTCAAAACTTCAAATTCAAAAAAGTTATAATAATTTACTACAAAAAGATGTGATGAAGTGGCATTTAATTGGTGGCACAGACACGAATATTTTCATTGTTTTCAACAAATTCACTAAATCAGGTTGATGACACAGTGATGTCAAGTGGCATATACACGAACTCATCTCTGTTACGTCACGGCGCGGTGGTGGAGCGTCGGTTGCACTTCCGGCCTGGAACTGTAGGCAGAAGTCCCCATGCCAGACGTGTATTCCTGCGTTGTTTTGAAAGGAACCAGACAAAAACCTACCTTCTCGTCAAAACGCCGCGACTGGGGCCGTACCAAAAGTGTCGAGAAAAGTTTGAAGGTCAGTTTTCACGTGCTCGGTTCGTCCTATGATCTGGATGTGTGCCGTGAAAAGGGAAAAGCAGACGCCGTCGGACAACGATTGCTTGGGTGGGAAGCACTTTGGGTTGAATTCACGGATACTTGTGGTCATCAGATTTATTTGTTTTGTTCCAACATGAACGCGAGAAAACCGTCATGTTGTGGGGACCATCTGCGAATTACGTTCAGTGCGTCTTCAAGTTCAAACGGCGGCCTGATTGTTCGAACTGTCGTCTGCTCTTTCAAACGTTTCTGCTTGTCGTCTGCTCTCTTAGACGACGCCGGCCCGTAGACAAAATGTTGTCCCGGTACTTGCGATAAGAAGTGCAGGCCTCAAAAGACTTAAATTTGAAGGTTGGTAAGCAGGCTTGATGTAAACAGTGGATACATGAAGATGTTGATCATTGTTACAAGTGACCATCCCCGACTTGTTATGCCTAATTCACTTGGTCCGATTCTGCTCGCGAATTTCAGTATCGACGTCGACCATCTCAGCTACGGTTCACGCTTTTGCAGCCCGAGCGGCGTCGCGACTGAAAATGGCGAGCGAAATCTCAACATCCGAATCAAGCATTAGCGTACATACTGTGGCATCCACGCGGTATGAATCGCCACATGTCACATTATTCACGCGAAGTTTTGCGGTGTAACCAGCCTCGGTAATTTCGCTGACGCCGCTCAAGATAGTCAGACATCATCAGGAAGACGTAGAATCAACAATTCGAACGCGAAAAAGGGAAGGGGGACTCACACCGACGCCGACAACATCGCATTTCAATGGTTTGTTTATGGGCGACGGCGAGCTTCTTGCCCACACCCCCATCGCGCATGCGAGGCGCCGGTGGCGTCCGCTAGGGGCGCTCCGGTTTGTTTGTAAACATGAGGTGGTGTATATTCCAGGCGTCGATGGTTTTAGGGAAGAACACTGTATTTAAAACAACCATCTCGAAGAAATTGATTCGGGATGCACATGCTGTGGTGATGACTTGAGCATTTATGAGCAGGAATTTAAAATAAATCTTAATTCTTAATATTTACGTCATTATTAATAATTCGAAAAACGAATTGAATTTTTTCGAACGCATCATTCGACTACAAGGCTAGAACATTTGAGAGTTTCCATACATTTACATGGGAATAAGTGCGGCAATATGTGTTAAAAACAAATCTGGATGCGATTCGTTGAATTTTGTTTCAAGCTTAAAACAACTTGTAGCGGTATGTGTATCCCATGCAATTTTCGGGTATGCTCAATAACGAATCTAACCAGGGTCAGGCAAGCTTGAACGCTAACCTCGCAGTTTGTTTTATTGGCAATGAAATACAAACTTGGAAATATCATATTATGAATCTGGATTATCAGCACAAATCTATTCAAAGTCATTGCGAATATTTGCATATTAAAAAAGTGAGATATTGCATAAACGCCACAAAGTCAAACACACCGATGCTGCTAAACACAACCAAACGCGTCGTTCTATTGGGACGTAATACCGTAAAGGAGTTCAAGCTCACTAAGGATGTGGTTCATGTAGGTGTGAAAAAATGGAAGGTTGTTTTAATTTCTGGCCTTTTTTATTGCCAATCCTACGCTTTTTTTGTTGTTTATCTTCGATTATATGCTAAGGAGCCTTCACGAGATGATTATTAGATAAGAAAAGCAATAACCGTCAGTTAGTCAATAACCGTCAATTATATCAAATAATGAAGTGGGCGATAACTGCGCTCATCCTGATCCTGATGGGTGACGAGACCGTATACTGACAAAGCAAGAAATGCCATGATCGGTAAATTGTGAGAGACAGACGCTGTTATTGCTTGGAAACAACGGTTCGCTAGCATACGAATTGCACGTTGTTACGGTGGCTGACATTAGCTTCGATCTATTTACCTGCACCTCCTTCGCCGATGCAGAAGAGTCTAGGGCAGTCTACTTCCGGTATGTGTATTAAGATACGACCGGGAGCGCACCGCCCTACACTCTTTTGCACCGGTGTAGGATGTTACGTTAATCGAAAGCAGCTATTCTTGACGAGATGCAGTACGTGAAGGCCCTCGACAGTTTGAAATATCACAGATGACTGTGGAACATAGATTACAGCTTTGGTTTTAAAATGCCGATGTCAAAGGTATTGATAGTTTTTTTTAAAGACCTTTCTTGGCATATATTGGTTTCTTACATACATGGTATGTATATGAGCTTTCCAATAGAACATGCAATTTTAATGGACCTGCAGTTTACATCAAAAAGCAGAATGACTGACAGGTCTGCAACACTCACATTTTTCTTGGGTAATACGTAAAAAACACTCCGTCACCGTCAACCACAAACAAAAGCTCCACTATTGGTTACAAAAACAAATCCTGGCGTGCTTAGTCAAATTAGTCAAGTGTAACGACGGCTTGGTCATACAATCACCATACTGCTTAAGCGGAGAGGTTTCTTGTTTGTATTAAGTTTGAAGGCACTCCTTTTAGGACACAAGCAATATTTCGAAGGCACGCCTTTTTAGAAAAAGACTAGTTTAGTTTCCCTTAAGTAAGAGAAAACAAGATGAGCTAAAATGACTTTTAAGGTTAAAAGTCGGTCCGTTATTTTCTTACAGGCTGTTTATAAATTTAACTGAAGTATTTTAGCTTTTTCTTTAAATACTGCATGTTCTTGTAATCACGAAGGCTTAAGACTGTCAATGGCGATCGTGTTTTCATGCGATGACAACAATAAAAACGAATTTAAACAATCAAATAAAAAATGGTGCCTGAGAAATCTCAACGCCTTGGTACATAACTTCGACGTGCTTAAAAGCGTGACTTATGAATATTTTTCTCTCGTGTTCATTGTAAAAGTAATAGCAAAATTCGAAAATCAATTGAACGGTTCAGGGCCATAGGTAGACAGTTATAAGGGGTGCAAGACATTACCGATTTACACTGTGGTTCAACGTTGACGATCTAATTCATGATCGTGTGTAGAGTGGACGGCATCATGATCGATATGATGCCAGCCTTCTCCGAGCTTTTTGTTGTCTTTTTCAGCGAAACGCCAAGTTCACACAGATATCGTCATTTTAGAGCGCAGCTCTTAGGCGCCCGTTTCCGGCTTGTACGGCGTCGCCGTCGCCGTCGGCGTCACCGTTGAAGTAACCGCGCAGTGCATTATGGGAAATGTCCCATAATGCACCGTGCGGGGAAGAGAAGGAGGGGGAGGGGAAGGACGGGAGGGGAAGGACTGGGAGGAGGAGGAGAGGAAGAGAGGGAGGCGGGAACAGGATGAGAGGACGAAAGCAGCTTGAAGGATGAGGGGAGGAGGAGGTGAAGGACGAGAAGAAGGACGAGGAGAGAGGAGGAAGAGAAGCGAGGAGGGGTAGCAAGGAGGGTGGCGAGGTGAGGGGGATGAAGAAGGGGTATACCCTCCCCTCAGTACCCTTCCCTCCTCCTCCTCAAGAGCTGCGCTCTAATTCGGCGTTACAGGGGTTGTAAATGGCTATCATTTTTTTCCTTGTTTTTAGGCGTTGCGACTCCTTCCGTTGAGTTTAAACTCGACGTTGATGTATTCATATCTTCTCCATCCACACCCAAGCTCCCCCATCGGCGAATGCAAGAGTCGCTGGCGAAACATACTTGATGGTTCTCTGCAAGAGAGGATATCCCAAGTAATACTGGGTTACATCAACGGGAATCTACCCAGTTCGCTACTCAACCGCGTGACCATTGGTGGGCTATATTGCATGGCCCACTCATGGGCTATGCTGATTGCTCGTCAGTAAATGATTACCAGTACTAGGGCACTGGCGTTCCGTATTTCTGAAAGCGTACCCAGAATTCCCAAAGTTGATATATAATTATGAACAAACAATCCAATCTCGATCGGGTGAAGAGCCGAGCGAGATTTTTTTAAGTTGAGAAAGACCAGCATTGCACTAATAATTCCTATCACGTTTGAGACTTTGAATATTAAGTACGCGCTTAGAGCCCGAGCGCGTAAAGCCTATGTGCAGAGTTCTGCTGCAATTCAAATTTCGTGGCCGAAAGTGTATCGGCGACTTGTCATTCGCTAAAATCTTCCGATGAATCGCGCTTACTGGCTTTGTCCTACTGAGTGAAAACACATAAAGCCCCATTTGTTCAAAGACAAGAAACCGATCTCACCAAGAGTTCGGCGCATGCGTGAAGCTACCATAACTTTAGTTCACTGGAGGCAGGCGGCAGTACCCGATACGGCTCGCGCCGTTCTGTACTGTACTTATGCTGTACAAGCGCAGGGATCCAACGAGGTTGTCGCACGTGCACAACGACTAAAATTCCCTGGATACATTAAGCAACGGTGCATTGCGGCATCAGCCAATCAATTAGCCCTAGAGCCACTCATTGAGCTACGCTTATGGAATTGACATTTTGCTCCCCTATATTGTTGTGGGCGCTGCCATATTGGTTCTTAGTACAGAGCAGACGAAACTGCCGATCGTCATGCTTCAAAAGTGCGATTTCTTCAGCATTAGATTCGGTGTTGGGAAGCTTCCATAATAGTGATTTGCTCTGTTACGAACTGTATAAACATTTGGGGAGGACGGAAGAGCCTTTCCAGTGATTTTAGATTAAGCTTTAGGTAACTGGCAACAATGATAATAAGCACAAAGATGGCTAAGTGCCGTTACTCCAAAGCATAGCCAATTTAGTTGCTCTAGTTACCCCCTTCACTTGAATAACAACAAAAGCCGGTGAATGGACATTTTGCATAGAGTTAACGTCTAGGCGACGGTGAGCGGGCGAAGGTAGACTATCGAGTACGCTGCCTTCTCACTCTCTTCACAATCATGTGCTAGTTGCTATCCGCATTGCTTTCTGAGGGAGGGGGGAGGGGAGGAGGAGGCGGGTGCCAGGCAAAGCATACTGAATTTCGCGTGTGGTCTCGTGATCGTTTGATGAAGGTCGCCTTACCTTGACTGGTTGGTCGCTGAGATGCAACTTGAACTTGGCCACAATCTTAGACAAAATTAATGCGAGTGCAATTTCGGCGAACCGCGCCGCTGGACAGATCCGAAGTCCGATGCCGAAAGGTATGTAGGCCGGTGACTCAATCGTTTTCTTGTTTTCCGGGCTGAATCTGGTTGTAAAAAAAATATATATATACATATTGATACAAAGATTTCGCTGGTCATCAACTCAAAAAGTAAGGGAACTGCATTAAAAAAAACATTAGCGTGTTCCCCCGCTGTTGAACGAAGAATGAAGTGAGCGAATAGATTACAATGCGCTGGAAGCTACGCACTCGCCAAACCATACCGCCACCTCCCGTTCGTTACCTCACCACGTTTTGTTCGTGGGAATGGGCTGGAGCGTGACCATGTGGCGAGACATTGACATATGAATGGATGAATGGATCATGGGGCACGTGACCTCCAACACATTGTCCACTTAACCCTGAATGAATTAGCGAAAGAATATAGGACACTGGCATCGTTTGTTGGAGGCGAAACTATTAGAGGGACGCCGGAACGAGAGATGGCGCTCGCGTTTTCGACGACAACGTGCCGCGTATTAAACCCTCTTGCTCGGATAGTCTTCCCAACACCGCCTAGGATACTCGAAGCCTGTGCGCTAATGCATTGACGTCATCACAGTGAGGTCACGCGAAGCCGCGGATTGGACTCAAGCGCTGCGTTAATGTTCGGATGGGTATCGTGTCCCAATTAACGCCTCTAAGGATACGCGGCACAGAAATCGGCTACAATAATTTATTTCGGAATTCTGTGGCGCCCTCACTGCCTGCTTGGTGCGTTATGACGATCTGTTTATGACCACTGAGGTTTCTCGCAAGCTTTTTTTCTGGCCTGTCCAAACGCTCGGCTTCCTAGTAGAAAAAGCAAGCCGAGCCAGTTCTCCAGATCTCCGGATGCGGCACTTATAAACAAACCAGAAACAGAAACAAAATCTCCTCCAAGCACGCTGTCAAGTTAGAGCCCGCGGCACGAAGCTCGCAATTTTATTGATTCTATCATCAGATGGAAACAAGTAGGCTGATCACTGTTGATTTGAAATTTTTGTTCGCAGCTCCGGTCTTTGCGCTGTTTGGCTGGATGATACCTCAAAATGTAAGACTTAGTGCGAATCTCTATATGTCATCCGTGGATATTGTATCGGTCGTCGGGACAGGTATAAAAATATTTTTGTCGTCATGCATGAAAACTGCTTTCTGAGCTTCACTCATGTGCAGATATGTTTTCTACAGCTTTGCCTCTTTAAAAACATGAACCTTCAAATTTCGATAGACTCCTTCTTTACCAAAGTCTATGTTTTGGCGAGAGCCCAGGAGCACATTTCGCGCTGCTGCCAAGTTCCATAGACCGACGACAACGGTGACAATGATAATTTTCGGATAATTTTTATATGTTGTTTGATTTAGTTGCGAGCGTTACCAAGCGCCCCGCAGCAACAGTCTCTACCGGCGAATGCAATGGTCTACGGTGCGCAGCCAGCGCGCGAAAAATCTCGAACGCCATGATCCGTTGTACTGCTTGTGTAATAATAATCACGACTAGAAAAGAAGGTAATGTAACTTCGAAATTTTTGTTTTCAAAACTTAAAAGAAAAAAGAAGGATAAAAAAAGTGAAAGCCGTTTGCAACTCCCTGTAACACCGAATTAGAGCGCAGCTCTTGAGGAGAAGGAGGGAAGGTACTGGGGAGGGGGGGAGGGTGAGGTGACCTGGGGGGGTCACGTGACCTTGGGAGGTCACGTGACCTTGGGGGGTCGCGTGACGATGCCGATGATGTCATCAGTGACGTCACTGATGACGTCATCAGTGACGATGACGATGCGGACTCCGATGACGTCATCAGCGATGATGACGATTACGATGCGGATGTCGGTGACATCATCCGTAACGTCACTGATGACGTCATTCGTGATGATGACGATGCGGATGCCGGTGACGCCATCAGTGACGTCACTGTGGACGTCATCAGTGATGATGACGATGCGGATGCCGGTGAGGTCATCAGTGACGTCACTGATGACGTCATCAGTGATGATGACGATGACGATGCGGATGTCGGTGACGTCATCAGTGACGATGACGTCATCGGGGAGGTCACGTGACCTTCGGGTGACCTCGGGGGTCACGTGACCTTGGGATGACCTTGGGGGGTCGCGTCACCTTGGGGTGACCTTGGTTACGCCGACGCCGACGCCGCTCAAGCCGGGAACGGGCCCCTAAGAGCTGCGCTCTAAAAACGATACATGCACCGAAAGTTTTTGGCCATCATTCTATTTTCTTTTTAGAGCGCAGCTCTTAGGGGCCCGTTCCCGGCTTGAGCGGCGTCGCCGTCGGCGTCGGCGTCGGCGTCGGCGTAACCGCAACCCTCGTAACCCTCCTGAGGGTTACGAGGGTTAATCTCATGAGGGTTACCCTCACGAGGATCACGAGGGCCACGAGGGTTACTTACCCTTGTTACCCTCACGAGGGTTACGAGGGTTAGTTACCCTCAAAAGGGTTACCTTCACGAGGGTTACCCTCACGAGGGTTACTTACCCTTGTAACCCTCACGAGGTTTACGAGGGTTAGTAACCCTGGTGAGGGTAACCCTCGTGAAGGTAACCCTTTTGAGGGTTACGAGGATCAGTAACCCTCGTGAGGGTAACCTTCACGAGGGTTACCCTCACGAGGGTCACGAGAGTTATGAGAGTTACCCTCACGACGGTTACTTACCCTCGTAACCCTCACGAGGGTTACGAGGGTTAGTAACCCTCGTGAGGGTAACCTTCACGAGGGTTACCCTCACGAGGGTCACGAGGGTTATGAGAGTTACCCTCACGAGGGTCACGAGAGTTACCCTCACGAGGGTCACGAGAGTTACCCTCACGAGGGTCACGAGAGTTGCCCTCACAAGGGTTACTAGGGTTACCCTCACGAGGGTCACGATGGTTACCCAGGTCAAGTGACCCCCCCTGGGGTCACGTGACCTGGGGATACCCCCCGAGGTCACGTGACCCCCCGTTGACGTCATAGCCACTGATGACGTCATCAGTGACGTCACTGATGACGTCACCGGCATCCGCATCGTCATCGTCATCATCACTGATGACGTCCCCGGCATCCGCATCGTCATCAGTGATGATGACGATGACGCTGCGGATGCCGGTGACGTCATCAGTGACGTCACTGATGACGTCACCGGCATCCGCATCGTCATCATCATCACTGATGGCGTCATCAGTGACGCTACTGATGACGTCATCGGTATCGTCACGTGGCCCCAGGTCACGTGACCCCCCGACGTCACGTGACGCCCCAAGGTCACGGGACTCCCACAAGGTCACGTGACCCCCAAGGTCACGTGACCCCCCCGCCCCCCGAGGTCACTTGACCCACCCCCCAGTACCCTTCCCTCCTCCTCCTCAAGAGCTGCGCTCCAATTCGGCGTTACAGGGAGTTGTAAACGGCTTTCATTTTTCTCATGAACTCACAAAGATAAAAAGGAGTGCGTCCGTGCCGCTTCTGAGATATACAAAAACGCCCGAATCGGACATGAGCCTACATTCAGACAGCCCAATAATTCCCTGCGTTCTCTGCAGTGTAATCGGGGATGACCTCGAAGCCCTGTGGGATTTTATAGGAAGGTGCATTGCTAAATGAGTCGTTAGTTGTTTCTAGAGAAGAAGGTTAGTGAGCCAGAAAGATTGAGTCATTGTTATTCACAGCAGAGGGGAATTTAGCCTCTTCAGTACGACCGCTAGCCCGGGGTCTTTGACGCGCATCACGCAGTAGTTATTCATGACCGCGCGCCGATGCAATGCTTGTCCAGATCGAAACTGGCAGGGATGAACCCAAGATCCCTGGGTTCTGACCTGCGAGGTGCATTGCAGTATTGGACCATCTAACTGGAATGTTGTTCCACTGAGAAAGAGGAGGACATTTGTAGGCGTTCAATTTTTAGGTGGTGTTGGTCCGCCCCAGCATGGCCAATGAGCTGCCATGCTGGGGCCCAACAGGTTGCTGCTTCAAGACTGACCGTTATCTTATACAAAAGTTATAAACGAAGAGAAAATGGCTCTAGATGGAATCCTCAAACGTGTGGAACTCACTGGAGACAATTAACGAGAATGGGCCCCATTACTACTGACATCTTAGTGGACCATCGAAAACGTTTCACTAAAATAACGGTTAGTTTTGAACCTTTTCCATCTGGTTGGAACCGGTAGCGCTAACTTTAGCCCACGAATGAGCATTCGGCGCTGCCTAGTTCATTTCTGCGGTGAAAAAACCCTGTAAATTTTGAAGCGACACGCTTTATATGTGAAGTCAATATTGAATGCTCTAATGATTACATATCCAAAGTCTTTACTCTGGATAATAAAGAAGTGCTATGCATTTTTTTTTCTAATGACAAACACCTCAATGACAATAGGTCGATCTTTTACCTGTCAGGATTGAAATCTTCGGGGTTGACCCAGTATCTTGGATCATGGTGTATCAGTCGAACGGGAACCTGAATTAGCGTGTCTTTTGGGATGCGAAAGCCGTTGAATTCGAAATCCTTCACACATTTTCTGTTGACTTGGCTGGAAGGAAGAATGAATCATATTTACGGTGCATACAGAATATTGGACCTGTCGTTTGAACATACTTTTATTTATTTATTTAAACACCTTACACGCCCTCAAGGGGCATTCTGTAAGGGGGGGGGGGGGGTTACAAAGCAGAATAAATCAAAAGTACAGAGCACAAAAACAACAAAATCAATCACACTTAGTAGACATGCATCAAGGGTCCCAAAAAGCACTTAAATCTTGGCGAAAAAGAACTTGATTACGTTGACAAACAATGTTATGGGGCAAGTCGTCCCAGACAGCAATGGGTAGATGCGAAAACGAGCAGAAAAAACAAGAATGACTTATAAGAAATAAGTTTAATCTTATATGAGTTATGAATGCGGGCTGAAACATAAAACGGTTGAGAGAGAAGTGACGAGTGAATTGGATGGCGAGTAGTAAATTTTCTGCAAAAGACATAGCTTTGATACCCTGTGGCGCATCACAAGTGAATGAAGGTCAGCAAGAGTTTTAAGGTTAGTTACACTGATATGACGTGAGTAATCAGAAAAAAAATGAAACGAACGGCGAAGACGAAAGTCTAAGCCTGAACCGGTCAGTGTAATTCAGTCACCTCCGTATATAACTAGAAAGTTACGATAAAAGAACTTAAATCAAATATTATAAGTTAATAAAACACTCTATGTCTTGCTTTTTCTTATGTTAAGTTTAACTTGAAAATCAGCCCTTAGTGCTCTTAAAAATGTGGGGTGGGTAATGTGCATGAGAATGTTGCATTTTATTTGCAAACTTTAGTGCATCTGGTTAAGTCTGTAAACTAGAATACACTTGACTAATAAACGTTCTCCTTTGTTTTGTTAATACTGCTATCGATTATAAATCAAGATACCTAAATAACATATGAAAAAATATAATATACTCGAGGTTAGCGTAGCATTCTTATCAAATTAGTAAACCTACCCCGGAATCGGAGGATATACTCTTAGCGATTCTGAAATGACTTGGTTCAAGTACTGCAGCCTGGAGATGTTGTCGTAGTTGACATTTCCCTGCAAAACGATTAAAAAGACAACGAATGAATTGTTAGGATTGCGGGACGTAGTCAAAACATCTAAAATGATATATGAAATTTGGATTGTATTTCAGATGCTTCAAAAAACAAGTCTAGAGCAAAATTTTGTCATTTACATTTTATTCAATTTATTTGGCACAAGGACATGGTAGCACCTGTATCATATGAGTGAGAATTTGTAGAGCGCCAAATAAAATCTAAAAAAACAACCGATACTAACGAAGCAAGTGAACAAAATAAACGCACATTGGCTAAATCAAGCAGGCTGTATGACAAAGCATTAAAACACTGAAACGACTGTCCAAAGCAAATGCGGCCGGTCGGTCACATCGTTCAGTTTTGAGGCGAAGTATGGAGTTGGCGGCACGAGTGGCCAGGAAACTTCCCCTATCTGGCAAGGGGTGGCGCCACTGTCCAACTCACGGTTGCACGTTCCTTTAGCACTAGTTCATCACCTAAACTTCTTGAAACTCGTGAAAATAGTGACTTGGTATTTTTTTCATTGGCCATTAAAGAGAAAAGTGAAACTGCAAGAAAAAAATTCGCTTCTACGACAAAGACAATTATGAAGCGATAAATCGAGTGTTGAACAGATTATTTCAATATTTCGAAAGGGTCTTTCATAACCAAGCTATTGATAAAAACCTTGTTGTTTTTAGAGGAAAAGTGAACGAACTAAATAAAAAATACAATAACAAAAGCAGTTTCCGCGCCAATTGCCAAAAACCATGGTTCAAACAAACGCAACAATAACTCCAAAATAAAGAAAAGTATATTTTTTTGCAGAAAAGGTACAAGTGAGCCCTTGTGCGCAAGGAAAATACTACGGGGCACACAAAAAAAATATTACCTAACTGCAATTCAAAATGTAAAACGTTGTTTTTTTCCATTTTGAACTGCCTAAAATTTTTACCTTAACCCATGGAGGTTCCGGCGAGTAACACATCCGCAGCAGATACACATGGTTACCCTCAACAATGATTTAGGAGAGATTGTCAACGACTCTGAATCTGCTAACGTATTTAATAATGCCTTCGTATCTGTTTCTTCTAGAAACCCTAGATTTCGAATTCCTCTGCAACCTTCTATTATACGGTCCGCAATGCTCCCCATCACGTTCATAGCCGACGGCATTTCACTTATAACGGAAAATATGAAACTGCCATCGTCAACCGGTGCCAATAGATTAATTGAAACATTCTTCAGATTACTAAGTGTATTTCGGCAACCTATATATGTTTACTTTTTTCTCTGTCACTTGCACGGGCATAATTCCAGCTGACTGAAAAAAGAAAAAAATCGTTCAAATCTACAAATTAGGTAACAAAGATACGCCATTTCTTTCACAAGCGTGCGTTAAAAAATCATCGAACATGTACTCGATCCTCAAATCAAGGATTTTTTGGACTCGAATAATTTCTTCCATAAATCTCGGCACGGGTTTTGTAAGGGCCACTCTTGGGAATCTCAGCTGGTCATCTTTCTTTTTGACCAGCATGCCAGCCTAAACTCCATTATTCAGACTAACGACACTTTCTTAGACTTGTCTAAAGCTGTTCGCAAAGAACATCATAAGCTCTTGTTACAAAAACTTGCACAGTTAAACTTAAATCCCGACATCTTCGATTGGATAAAAAAAATGGAAGCCCCGCTCCCAATCTGTTCTTATTAACAGCTGCACCTTTATATTCTCTCCCAGGAACCTCAGGAGTCCCTCAAGGACCTGTTCTTGGTCCGCTTCTCTTGCTGACATATATTTATGATCTGCCGCAGCATACGTCTTCCGATATCCGCATGTTCGCCGATGATTGCGTTATATATCGCTCAGTCACTAACGCCGCTGACCAATTTCTTTCTTTTTTTGAGAATGATCTTAACAGCATTCGGCTGTGGGACAACTGCTGGCTTATGATACTTAAAATTGATAAATGTAAACTCATGCCTTCTCCCCGCCGCTGCCGCTGTAACCCCTATGTCTTCCGCTGTGTCATCGCTCAAAATCCCGCAGAATTAGTGGACTCTTAACAATACTTTGGTGTCACTCTCTGTAAGGATCGATCATAACGTTTGAATGTCACTAACATTATCGCATCTCTAAAGAGAACGCTAGGATTACTTAGGCGTCGAAATGCCAACTTACAAATCACTCATTAGATCAAAGTTAGAATGTGCATCCGCCGTCTGGAATCATTATCAAGTTTATGTTGCTAAAACTCTCGAAGCGGTTCAAATCCGCGCCACTAGATTCATTCCTTGTTCATATTGGTACGAGGCTGCCATTTCATCAATGGAAGCTGATTTAAAGTAACTAATTTTTCTTGTCTTTGGTGCATAAAAAGTCTCTTTATTTCACAAAATCTATTATTCTTCGCTAGCCCGCGCGCAGTACATTGCACCCTCTGCGCGCGTATCCCGGGGCACCGGTTACCCATTCCAAGCCTCTCGCCGCTGCACTCGCACCACTGCCTTTTTCTTCTATTTTTTTTTCACGAGCAGCCTCTGACTGGAACGGTCTTTCTCACCAGATCGCTGCCATCATCTGCCCATACACTTTCATGAAACTCGTAGCTTCAATAATAAATATCTGTGGCATTTGTCTTTTTTTTCCGTTGCAAGGGATTCCTTTATATAATACCTCCGAAGAGGTCTTTAAGGAAATAAAGTGAAGAAGTTAGCCTGCTCGAAACCACTTCAGTTTTCATTTGAGGGAGCTCTAAATGAGAATTTCGAAGGTTGGTGTACGTACGTTGGATAGGAAGGAGCATGCGACGGTTTTGGTTTTGTACATAAGAATTGGCAAGAATTTTTTTTCGGGAACGTAGCGTGTGAGATTGTGGGTGCATCCGTTTCGAACAAGCAAGCGCAGGTGCCTATTGCCATGTTTGACTATTTAACAATACTATTAAGAATTTGCAGTTGCATATTTATCTACCTGTCAAACCATCATCTGCAGAATTACATATTTCGAGAAACAGGCCGACGGTAACTCATCTCTCAGGCTTCCCAGCACGCGACTCCGAGTCTAACATCCCCACGTCCTCTTTTTGTGTTGTTCCTTTCTTTTGTTGCTGTTTTCCAAGCTTTCGCAACTGGCCAAGGCTTCAGAAAGCGCCTCCAAGTGCTCTCTTCTGCTTCTTGTGTTTTTTTTTACCAACACGTTTTCACTGTTACCAGTAGAATGTTAGACTCTCTCAACCTCTTAGACCAAAAATAAAACTTCAATAACTACGCGAAAAAAGCTGTTGCGATTTGTAATTTGGGTTAGTAATTCCAATGTTTCTACTAATGTGTTGAGCCAATTTTCAGGCAAATCAGTAACTACAAATTTAGCTTTTAAAAACCTTGATACTTTTTTGTACTAAGCCATTTATCTGCCAGACTTACATCTTTTTCCAGGAGCGATTTCACTTCAGCCCTCACTTTCTCTTGAACGTCATGATGCTTTGCCAAAAGATGCGCGGTGAACGAAAGTGCCGAAGCGATGGTCTCAAGCCTAGAACAAAAGTCTCGTGTTATGGACACCATGCTGGCAGCACTCGGGGCAACCAGGCTTCACGGACAATGACGACAATGCAGCAAAAAGTTGGCATGGGATTAACCCACGTTGACGGTGAAACTCCATAAACTGTAGAAAACAAGGCTGTTTCAGCGGCAGTCTCGAACGAGGCGATTTACAGCGTGCGTCCCTGGTTTTGAGAGGGTACGTCAGTGTTGCCCACCTGCGCTGGGCTGTGGGTTTTTCTCTCAGTGGGCTGTTCCGGCCTGCGTAGGCGCACTTCCGTACGCTGGTGGAGGCTACATTGTCGCGTTATATTTTTTTATTTTGTGTTTTATGGCGAATATAATTTCTCGGGGTTTTCAAGGGTACATTGTACTATTTTGGGGAACAAGAACAAAGAAATGAAAGCTGTTTTGGTGAGTCTGTGCGCGAGAGAACAAATGCAACTGGAATGTTTGTTTAATTTTATGTTGATCTTTTTACGGCACCATACACTTAGCCCTGTCAATCTACAAATGTTTTAATGACCACACGGGATTTTGGAACTGCATGAATATTCCCCGCCCACAACACAAAATTCAACAAGTCTCACCAATTGAACGACATATATTGTACGATGATGATGATGAAAACCTTTGCATTTAATTGCATTCTAATTAAAAATAAATAAATATATTCTACGTACCCCACTGTGCCGCGTTATCTGAACAGGGTTTGAGAAAGGTCTCAAATAACACAGCATATCCAATATACACTGCCGACCATACTCACTTCACGACGATCGGACGGAGTCTGGCGTGTTTTGGGGCACATGTAGAAGAGAGCTGCTTTTTTGCACAGCTTCAAAGCAAATGGACGAACGTGTCTATTCCGTCCCCACACCCCGGACCCGACCCTATCAGCTATTTTTCGCAAAGACCCGAAACGTAGCCGGGAAGGTTTTTTGGAGATTATCTCAACGTAAATAATCCTCCAAGAACGTCAAACTGCCCGCGTCGCGGACTGCTTGACGTTCGCTATCTTCGTTCGTTTCCTGCGAAGGCCGAGCAGGCTACGAGCCCTGGTATTCCCTGGTTCTCACAGTGGAAGATAACACACAAAAGATAAGCATCCTAAACAGGCCAATAAAGTAACAACTTTTGAGAAAAGCCGGCGAACTCCGAATGTACAATGCAGGTGGGGAGTCACGCTGGCCGGGTTTCCACAGCTCAGGCGGGTGGCAGAAATTTCTGGCTGATAGGGGTCGCTCGATTCGGAAAATATCGGCGCCCAGAGAGCTTTTTTTGCAAAGGTCTATACTCCGTTCACCGTTCAACTTAGACTAGAAGCTGCGCTTTCAGCTCGATCTTTCTGCCATTGCTAACACAAGTGTGAACGAGCAGATACGCGCAACCAAAGCACTGAGGAAGCCAGCGAGCTCGCGCTGAAGGCGGAGCTTTTGGTCTCAGCTGGAGTATGAATGGAGTATAGAAATTTCCGCTGGAGCAGCCACATGGCAGGCATAGTTCTATACTAGTAAAGAAAATAATAAAAAAGTAAATCACACATTTCCTGGCTTAGTTGAGTTGTGTGTGTGAGTGCGTGCAACAGTGCGTGTGCCTGAGTGAGTACATCTGTGCGTATATGTGTGTGTGTAGCTGTGCGGGTGCGCGTGTATGTGCCATATGTGTGTGCATGTGTGTTCATGCCTACGCGCGCATGTGCGTGCGTGTTTGTGAGCGTGCGTGTATGCGCATGTGTGTGTGTTCCTTCTCGCATGATATAATGTTTAGCTACGTTTGCCACGCACCAGGTCTCCTGTGCATCCAATATTCGTGAAGCTTGTCGGGTAATTATCATTAATGTACTTCTATTTCTCGTTCATAACTTGTCTACATTGCTTAACGACTGACTTCCCTACAAACGGCATTGATGTTCATAGTTTAACTTAAAAGGTGTTGGCTTATTTCAAAGTGAATAGGGAGGAATCTATTTTGTTGGCGCCTCATTTCCTGTGGGCAAAGGGGAACCATACGGGCATTTGTAAATGGTAGGCGATACGCGGTATGGCAACGCCGCTCGTCCCGGACTGGCTGCTCCTCAAAGAGAACGCAGCGTCGTCGCACATAGCAACGGAGAGTTGCTACGCTTACCGGCAGTCCTTGCGCGTGTATCACTGGGGCGAGTTTTGAATTACCCCCCCCCCCCCCCTTCCACAGCGCTTCGCGGCGAAATTACATGTTAGTATCACTGGGGCACTTGAATCAGCAACCCCCGTCTGTCGCCGCGAAGCGGCGTGAACGAGGGGAGGTGAGTAGTTTAACACGCGCCCCAGTGATAAACACGCGACGTCCACTGCCATCCGGCGCAGCAATCGCCCGTTGCTACGTGTGACGACGCTAAGACATCTTCGAGAAGCAACCAGTACGGCAAGGGCGGCATTACCATGCCGAGTATCGCCCACCGTTTACAAATGCGCGTATCGGTCCCAGCCAAGCTTCTTGTTAACAATATTTTGTCCTGTTTCCTTAGCACTCATTGGTTCTTGAAATAAACATCTTTTCTCATAAATTTTTTTTTTACATTAACTGCGTCGCAGACAACGATTGTTAGGGGTAGAGACTCAAAACATCTGAGCTATTTTGAAGTCCTATTAGATTAATTGATGCTTCGACTCACCCGGCAATGACGAAGAATTCTACATTGGCTGCTGTTTCAAATGGTGTGATAGTCCGTTCAGTACCCGTTGTGTCCGCTGAGAAGAAATGTAATGTCAACTAATATTCCGTTGAGGCTTTTCTCGAATAAGGTGTCAAACATGCAGAGAAAAAAAGAACTGGTCAAGTGCAAGCAAGGAAAGGAAAGATATAGTTAGCCATGTTGAATAAACCTGACACTGGGGCTGAAATGAACATACAAGTCAATAGAAAAGAAAAGGACTAGACGACGTCTCGAAAGTTGCCTCCGATCGCACACGGATGGCATAGTGTTCGCTCTATTCTTACAGTGATTTATAGTGCTATTCCTGGGTCAATACTTCACCGATTCTGACCTGAAACCAGGAGATCAATAATGAAAAGACTTGGCTGCTCAACCAATTCCCTTCCCCCCCCCCCCCCCCCCCCCGAAAAAAAAAAGAAAATCGCGGGCCAAAAACAACTTTGTAGATGTATTTCGATCTTTAAAAAAAAACGCTATATTTAGAATAGCGTTTCACGAGGAACGCAGCGGACGTCACCTCAATGTCTCAACCTTCCAGGCACGTGATGCCGTGTCACGGCGAAATGCTAGCTAGAAGGCAAGGCCCACGAATGTCGTCATCGTTGGTGGACCTCTGACCGATCAGCCCCAAGAGGCACATTACACGCCGAGGCTCGGCGAACATACGCCGCGAAGCGACAGACGCGTCCGTCCTGGCCTCGCCACCTGCTCTTTTTCAGGACTGCGTTGTATTCTTGTGTTCACCACCGTTCTTGTTGCTACTCTACAGATTTCTTGGATGACCTCGCAGAAATATTTTAAAAACGCACTAGAATGCTCGGCCGCGCAGAGTTTCTTGATCTGTATAGGTAACATACTATGACAATTTGATGAACTGGCTATACACATAAAAATATACTTACAATTTCCGGAGTGTCCCTTCCCCGTGGATTGTGTCGTGCCATCAGGCTTCCGGTCTGGGCCGCATTTTTCTTCTGCATTAAACAACAGCTGAAACAAATCTTCCGTTCCTGTCTGTAAAAAAAAAAAAAAAAAGAATGCACGCAATCATTCATTTCTTTAAATAGCGTTCAATTAGGCTTGTCCTCTTTAAACCCTGGGTACACCTACTTTGCCCTTCGCCATAAGCTCAGTGCCAACAATCACGAATAAACTCTTTTTGTGATACTCTTGCAGTGTCTGAGATCTCTGTAAATACCTAGTTATATACAGTGCGTTTCATTTCGATCAAACGATATACTTAGCAACTTCTAGATTTTATAACCGAATAAAAAGTAGCCACAGCAGCTCACAAATCTTCCTCGAAAGTTCTTGTCCAGAAACAACCCACAGCAATCCCACATGTCCTTGGTCCTTGTTGCCGATCCACGGATGGCGGGGCGCAAGGAAGTGTGCGATTGATGCTCTGCTCAGTTCTTCGGCAGACAACAATTTTTACAGTGTGTGTCGTGTTCTCGACGGTTCCACTGCACATGCTTAGATATTTAGGCTAACGGATACGTCATGTTTTTGCAGTCTGAAAAAAAAAACCGGTACAAATACAAGAATCATTCAAGGCGCAACAATCCTTCGGCGACGAGACCTGTCGGCGCTGAATCTGATGTCAGGGCTACGCGCCCAACAAGAAACACGGACTCTAGCATCGGCGGAGAAGACAGCGGTGGACCGGCGCATATGAGGTTTTATTCAAAAATGATTCGCCTGGTCGGTTTGATATGTTGACAGCCGAGGAAACGTTTCAACGTTTAGACAACAGTGCACCCAGGGTGAACGTTTCCCAAGTTCTCCGAGCAGTTGTGAAAGAAACCGTCGTGGCTGTTCCAAAATGACGCGTCATCCCTCACCCCAGAATCCACACTTCCGATGGTGGCCCTCTTTCTTGTCCATTTTTGGGTCGCTGCCTTTTTTCTCGGTATAAGGGTGTTGTGTCGAAGAACGTGAGTCAAGGGAAGCCTTGGTCAAAGTCTGAATGTCTATTACTAAAACGCCCGTGGTCTTACAACCAACACAGATGAAGTTATGTCTAATCTGCCTGATTGATATAACGATATCGTTAGATTGTCGGAAACCTGGCTTCATGCCAATATCGCCAATTGTGAATATTTTACATTTTTTTTATTTGCAGAAGCCTCGATTATATTCTTTGGATGAAATACGGCAGCGGTGGACTGAAAAGTGTAGGCAATTTGAACGAACATAGATGTATCGATTTAAAAGCGTGTCAAGATTCGGTCTGGGTTGAGAATTTGGATACCTTCTGCTGCTGGGTTCATCCTTTCTGTTGGACCATATTATCTTACCCCCTTTTTAAAATTCTGCACTTTTTATAGACCATTTAATTTTTTGTTAAACATGGTAGATGCTACTAAATATCGCGTATAAATTTAAGAATATTATTGTCTACTTAAATTTGACAAGGTTTATGTTTCATTAACAGTGAAAGTTCATGCACGCGTTTAAAAAATGTCTCGTCTACTTTACTTTTTAAATGCAATACTTTTACACCTCAGAACGTGTTAGTGAATTGCTTGGGGAATATTCTTGATTTGATTTTATATAACTTTTATGTCTCCGAACTGATTCGCGGAAATGATCCGCTGGTAATTGCTGATGATTATTACCAGCCACTTGCAATTTTGTTTTGAATCTTGTTTTCAATATTTTTAAAACTTATGTAACCTTTCTACGTACTGAGACATGCATAAATTCTTGTAATTAGTGTGTTTTTATAAATTATTAAAAACATATACGAGTCGAATAATATTTTAAGAGATTCGGATGGTGATTTTATGGTGGACGGTCTCACAACGGTAATAAATAATGCAAAGGATATATTTCTTCCAAAGTACATTAAACGCCCTGAGAAGTACCCGGCAGGGTTCTCAAGAGTTTACGACATTTCCATAGATTGTTAAAAAAAAAGACGTGTAGTACAAAAAGTATTATTATATGTCGTGATGTAAAAAGAACAAACTTCTCGATAATAAGAATACTCGTGCCGTAAGCAGTTGATGCTTAGCTTGAACTAGTGACCCGAAGAAGTCTGGCGCTTCGTGAAAAAGCGTAGCGAAAAGGAGACCAGCGATATAACGGTACTCGGTGAATCTGATAATGATACGTCTCAAAATTCTGTTTGTGAACTCTTCTCATATCGTTTTTGTAGAAGTTTTGTTTTAAATTTATTTCAACCAGTTCGCTTGTGACACAGGGTTTTGATGATTATTTGCCTTTTACCTGCGTTACGGCTGATGACCTGCTTTCCCCTATCGGAAAAGTGTATTCCAAACTATCGACAGCGTGCAATATTATTCCCAAGTTTATTGTGAAGGGTTGCAGAGAATGTTTTTGTTTCTATTCCTGACAAGATATTTACGCCAATTGTTAAAAGTCGGGGTCAGATAGATACAATATACAGGGTGTTTGAGTTGAATTCGAGCAAACCTATCTTTAAGAAGCCCTCAAAAATGCACTAATGCGGTTTATGCAGACAGGTTGAAAGCAAAGAGGGTCATAACAATGGGGCTTGTTCTCACAATAAGTCGAATAATCAACTAATTTTTTAATAACTTTTCAAGTATTGAAAGGAAACATGGTTTAAATTAGAAACTTCCTGCGCGTCATTTAAAACCACTACATCAATCAATTTTTAAAATATTTAAAGCAGGGGGTGTGCGCGTGGGGTGCGCTAAAGTGGCCTGGCGCATCTTGCACGAGAAGGAACTTTAGTGCACGCCCGAGATTACCAAGTGAATCGAATGATTCTACAAGCTGATTTACTGTTTTAAGATGACGGCCAGCAAGTTTCTAAATGAAAGCGTATGTTTAATTTCGCTAATTAAAAGATAATTAGAAAGTCTTAATTAATTATTTCAGTTATCGCGAGCATTTTCCCCTTATATTATGCCCCGCTGGCCGTACAACGCATCTGCACGAAAGGCATGATTCTTATTGCGTAAATCTTTATAATAAATCTTTTTTTATTAAAAATGAACACCCCGTGTATGTATGTCTAAATTCTTCGAGAAGGGCCATTGCGAATTTGTATGCCTGAAATTTTAGGCTTGGCCCTGGGTATATTTACTAGTTCAGGAGTTATCCACATGAAAGACAGAAATATGTTAGACTCTGGCCACTTGTCACGTTCTTTCATCTCTGTTTTGGCCTGTGCCTCGTGGTTCGAGTTTTGGTATTTAGTTTTTGATTTTTTTTTTTCAGAAAGAATCTAATAATCTTTGTGAATAGCTCGCAAGTGATCATATTCGCCAACGAGCTTTTCTTTGTCGGTTTTCTCGTGACAGCTTTGGAACTAAATACCAAACAAGTGCAACATTTCACCTCCTTTGTTGTTCTTCGGTTCATATGTGGAATGCTTGGCTCAAGTCTGGCGCTTTGGCAATTATGTTGCAAGGTATTGAAAAGCCATAGAAAAGCAAAACAAAAATTATCTGGCCCTAACTAACACCTTAGAGCAAGAGCTTAAAGCCTTACTTTGGCCCCTATGACTGCCAAGCTCGTGCCAAGCTAAGCGTTTTTCTAGCGTGACGTCTGAACGTGATGTGGCTCATAAGTAAAGATGTACTTCACATAAAACCTGCATGCACTCTTACTTTACCTTAATTTCAAGGAGACTTACCCATCCCTTCTCCCTTCGTTGGCGCACCAGCTCAAATAAGTATTTATTAAACATCTCTGTAGGTGCCTCACGCAAGCATCCTTGAAGGAATACCATCACCTTTTTTATAATGTCCCACGTCGGAATAAGGTCTGTGAAATTAAAAAAAGACCAGCATTAGAATTATTTATTGGTCTCGTATTATATTGGACTACTATGTTTCAGACAGCGTGATGACAGTCTCTTGATATCGTTCAAAGCTATAGGCACTGTGAAAACGTGATTGGTATAACCACAACATTTGCACTGGAGAGCGAAACTTTGATTGTTGCGTGTATTGCTAGTATATAATCGAACAACGCAATCACCGGTACCTTATCGTGTGATTTAACTAAACATTTGCCCATATTTTGTGTTTCCATGCTCAGTAACAGGAAAGGGTTCAGAAAAAGAAAAAGATTTACGCAGATACATAAAAAACTACACAGTTTATGTATTTTCTGCATTTGTGACGGACATAGAGTGGGATCACGTACGATTTATTTTTGGAAAAATTGCTACATTGTTATCGCCCAGCATTTCCGGTACAAAAGTTCGGAAAGCACAAGAAGGCAAGAAAGCCTTGGACAGCGCAAGAGCTATCAGGTAATCGATGAGCGAAACACGTTTTATGAGAAATACTTTGAATACAGAAAAAAGTGCGCATTGCTGGAATATAAAAAATTCAAAATGAAGTTCAGTCAGACCTTAGAAAAGCACAAGCATAAGCTTACAGGCATTCAAAGGACCCAGACGAAAATTTAGAATGCAGTAACAAGCATTGTTTTCAAAACGAAGAGAGTTCCTGCCTAGATAACGACTGCCACCATCTTGTTTCTCACAAATCATTAGCGAATAAATTTAAATCCCACTTTCTTTCCTCCCGATCATCCAAAATTTAGAGCAAAAAAAATTGGGGTGGCTTAGCTCAGTATATGCGTAGCGTGAGCTTATGCGCACAAAATGAGAGGCGCCATCACGCGGCTCCGGTGCAGCGTCAAACTTGGCTACTGCGCAACGGAGGCGCACAGCTAGGCACGCGGCGGCGCCAGAGCGTCTGCCGCGGCTACGACGTCACTCCTCTGGAATGCGCAGACCGGCGAGGCGCGCGCGGCGGCGGCGGCTCCGGCACGCCAGCTGTGCGCCGTTTGAGGTCACTGCTCCTCGCGCATGGGCAGACCGGCGAGGCGCGCGCGGCGGCGGCGGAGCGCGCGGCGGTGGTGGCTCCGGCGCGCCAGCTGTGCGCCGTGTGACGTCACTGCTCCTCGCGCTTGCGCAGCTCGGCTCTTTGACAGCCACGCGAAACTGCTCAACCTCGGCCAGTGTAGCTCACGCTACAATAATAGGGAGGAATAGTACGTCACCGCAGATGTTTCAAGTTCAGTTTTCCTGCCACTCACAACAGAATCTCGGATACAGGGTTGAATAAAACAGTTGAAAGTTTGCGCTGCTCCGTGTCGTTTATGTCGTCTTCGCCCATGTTTTTTTTTTTTTTTTTACAGCGAAGCTCTTAGGTGCCCGTTCCCGGCTTGAGCGGCGTCGGCGTCGGTGTCGGCGTAATTACGTGGTGCATTATGGGACGTTTCCCATGATGACGTCATACGTGACGTCACGTGTGACGTCACGAGGGCCACCAGTGACGTCACTCGTGATGTCACCGCGCGTTGCATTATGGGTAAATTTCTTCGATAACTTAGCGGAAAAATTCTCCGTTAAATTTAGCGGAAATATTTCCGCGCTAAATTTAGCGAAAAAAAATCCCCGCTATATATAGCGGGAAAACTTCCCTGATAAACTTAGCAGAAAAAATTCGCCGCTAAACTTAATGGGAAAATTTCCCGCTAAATTTAGCTGAAAAATGTTCTAAATTTAAAGGAAAAACTTTCCCGCTAAATTTAGCGGAAAAAATTTCCGCTAAGCATAGCGGAAAAACTTCCGTGCTAAATTTAGGAGAAAAAATTCTCGCTAAACATAGCGGAAAAATTTCCTGCTAAATTTAGCGGTAAATGTTCCCAGCTAAATTTAACAAAAAATTCTCCGCTAAATTTAGTGGGAAAAATTCCCCGCTAAATTTAGTGAATATTTTCCTCGCTAAATTTTGCGGAAAAAAATCAGCGCTAAATTTAGTGGAAAACTTTCTCCGTTAAATTTAGCGGGGGAATTTCCCCTCTAAACTTAGCTGAAAAAAATCGTGGCTAAATTTAGCGGGAAAATTTGTCCCCTAAATTTAGTGGGA